TTTCTAATAATGAAATACCGTCGGCGTCACAATCATCCGTTCATAGATGATAAAACCGTGAAGTTTAATCACTTTTCGATTGCAGTCTGTGGATTTCATCATTAATACTTGTGTATGACAAAAAAAGCTTACGGGATAATTGTTTAGTACTCAAAGACGGCAAAATTGTAAAGTACTACTTACACTTAGTTGTATATAATTTTAAACAACTTATGTTAGCTAATTTCCTTGAGTAGAATATTATATAAAAATACCACGTTTCCTGATTTGTCATATAGACACATTTCTAAGTCCGTTTCAGTTGTTGATTATGTGACATATAACGCAACAATGATTGTTTCGACCCCAATAATTGATGAGACTTAATTCTTGACTAATTAAAATTAACCATAGATTTTGTTTCTCTAGGTTTTAAAAGTAGGACTACTTCCGTCGGTAGGCAATGCGTTTAATTATGTCGCTACGATGAAATCGGATAATTTCATTATCTTTAAACACTGTATATAGTTTACGCGAGTAGTACCTACACATTTAAATAAAACACTTTAACTGTTTCAATATGCGATATATTAGTTATACTTATTTGAAAATGATTTTTAACTTCGGGCCGACATTTCGGATGCATTGCAGTAGCCATGGTCCTGGGAAGACTAAAGATGGAGGATGTATCTGACGTGAAAGTAAAAAATTGCTACGCTAGCTCCAAGTTGGTATTTGGCCAATCCAGAGTTTGGTATTTCGCCAAATACCATCTTAGTCTCCCCGTAACCACGTGCTAAAGCATGCCGAAGTTAAAAATCATTTTCAAATAAGTTTAACTAATATACCGTGTTTTAAACCGTTAAAGTATTTTATTTAAATTCATTATCTTTACTAATATTATAAAGCTGGAGAATTTTTTATTTGACCATGCTACTTTCAGGAATGTAAAAAAAGGTGTGAACTGAAAAAATATTTCTGTGTTGGTTAGAACATTTATCGATCGAAGAAATGGAACTAGGATCGAAGAGGCAGTGGAAAATGTGGAACAAACGGGGAAAATTTACATTCACAGAGTTTACGTTGCGTGCGCGTGCGAAAACGGTTCAACATACCCAAAAAATATGTATGAAAGAATCTAACTTCCAAGAACGTTACAAACAACCGCTTAGGTAACATGTACAGTTTATAAAGATGACGAGGAGGTTTGCAAACAACACAAGTACATATATATAATACCTTATATGAGGCCGATAGAGCCAGAGTAGCGTAACTGCAATTTTATGACTTATTTATATTTTTATAGTCTAAAAATGTTACTCTACAAGAGCACAGTGACCAAAAATTGTTAACATAATTCTTACACAAATAAAAGTACAAATTTATTTTCGCCTAAGTTATTCGCGCATTTTATATATATTTTTTGTTATTAGGCCACTCGGTCCCTAGCAACGTCGTTTAATATGTACATGATGAAACTAATAACACACATATATACAGCAACTATAAAACGAGGGTAAAATAAAACGATACTGTACCTAATATAGCAGGACCGAGTCGTTGACTTTTATGAGTGCAGCAAACATTAACGTAATTATGCTATGTGTATATTAACCGGGTCAGTTTCATATGCGATATGAAAATATGCAATCAAATTTAACGAGAGACAAGTGAATTGTTATTTCGATAACTTCCAAGGAAAGAGAAAACCGGACAAGTCCGAGTCTAACTCGCGCTCGGATGGTTCCGTACATTAAGGAAATCACAAACCCGTTTTCATATTGTATCCTCCGTCTATTAGTAATATTTACTATTGAGGTTTTTAACAATTTATTTTAAGTGCATATTCAAACGCGCAATATCTTATGATCATCATACACTCCTGATGACAAAACGTCAAAAGTAATTTCTTGATTACGGCGGTCGAATAGCGAAACCCAGAAAAGCTCTTATACTCCGCGTTCTAAACCGTTACAAGTTTTTGATTCAATATTTCACTCGCAAAAAATTGTCACAACAAATAAAAATATTATGAAAATCTATTGGGTTAAACTATGTGTCTGATTGTAATTTTCCGTCTGGCTATCTTAGTAATTTATTTTGCTCTTAATATTTATCCTAATAGCAGCATAATAAATACATTGTAACTCACTCTTAAATAAGAATTATTCTGTAAGGATATGTTATTGGTTTTTAAAAAATAAATAAAGAAAATAAATATACATCTCTTGATGACGCCGTCCGCTCGTGATGGCGAAATGACGAGAACCTCTTCTCGCTTACGTCGGTCGAACATCCCGAAAACAGTTATTTGCTAAACGATGGCCCTGAAAGCTTTACATAGTTTATTAAAAATAAACTATATCTCTGAAACAGCCAGACAGACAGAGAGCGAAGTATTCCGCTTTCGTCCTATAGACGCGGAACTCTAAAACCGACAACTTATTTGCACAACAGCCTGTAAAACTTTAACGAACCTACTTAAACTCAGTTCAGAAGCTATGTACAATTCAAATGAAGTTACAAACCGACCCCTAATTAAAGGGTATAATGGCGTTACACGAAACAAGACCGCTTGTGATTTTAAACACGTCTTAACTTAACCCTGCACTTGCAACGAGTTCGTTCATTAGCAGTCGCGAATAAGTCGAAAACTTTCGCTAAGTTAATTACAGAGCTCAGTCAGAAATTAGCCGAAACATTGCTTTGCTTGCTCTTCTGTTGTCTGGGCTCGTAACGTTTTAAAACGATCTCCATTTAATCATCTGTGAGACATCATGACAAACGGACAAAAATTGTGCGAAAAACCATTTATGCAAAGACCTTAATAACATTTTATTTATACTGGTTTAACATGAAGTATATAAATTGTAAATAAACGATTTTAAACGGTTTGCCATCAAGAGTACATTGATATGTGTTAAGCAAATGATATGCGATTTATATATTAAAAATGGCCATTTAAAGTACTTTTTATGTGTATTTAAATATGATTGAACTACGAAAACTTTCTAATTACTTAAGATTTATTTATCAAAATATTAATCATATCAACAATATAATACATATCTAAAGAAATTCTCATCACTTACTAATTAAATCCTATTATTAATGTTAACAATTGTTTAAAGCTAATTGCGTGAAGTTATTAGTAACGTTTATTGTATTCTTTGCAACATCTACATCAGACCGAAAAGCATTATATATTAGTAACGCCACTTTAAACTCACTTACGTTTCTCGCTGTCTGGAGTTTGTTGTCACTTTTATCAGTGAAGAACAGTCGTGACCTTAGAATTAAGATAGTAATTCAAGTCATTGTGGTTAACTGTAGATGGATTCATTACAAAATAAGATACTACGGTTATACAAATTCATACTCTATGTAACCGAAAATGTTAAATTTATTTCATACAATAATTTTCTGAGATTCCTAGATGTAGATACAAAATAGCTATTTGATTATGCTCATAGAAATATAAATGTGAATTGGTTACTTTAGTTTCATTAATAAGTTATGTATGTATTCTAAATATTAAAAACGTAACGTAAGTTACGTTTTTAATATTAGTTAACTAATATACTTCGCCTTTGAAACCGTTAAAAGTTTTTTATTAAAAGTATTTTTATTACAGATACCCTCATACACTGTCTGTAGTTTACGCAAGTTCTACAAATTTAAATAAAACACTTTAACGGTTTTAAACGCGATTTATATCCAAATGAAACGTCGGACTGTAGTTAAAATAAATTTCAAATAAGCTTAACTAATATAAATCGCGTTTTAAAACGTTAAAGTGTTTTGTATAATACTCTTGGTCGAAAGTTACACACAATAAATATGTGATTTTGTATAACGTTCTTCAGCTAATAACTCAAATTACAGTAAAACTTCTCCGTCATAATGAGATATGCTTATAATAAAATTTCTATTTCGCTTAATAGGCACTAAAAGCTATTGAAACAAGTCTGTAACTCGATTATTGTTTCTTATAGAGCTTTTAGTGCAGAAATAGACAAGATAAACTGAAGCAAGAATCAATAAATTGTGCCTGATATTGTTTGCGGATGTCAAACAAACAAGCCTTTGAATTCTGTTTCAATTGCATTTTGTTTACTCTCGACTCGAAATGATCTGTACGATTTGGGTTATTACGTGGCTGTGGGTGTTTCGAGATTACGCTATGTTTGTATAGTAACACTAATCACTAAATTATTCGTTTTGTATTTAAAATTGAATAGATTCATTAGTAAGCTACTAGGCGTGTATTTGTGTTTTGTTAATTGCACTTTTAGCAGAATTTAGCATGAATTGACGGGAAAATAAATATTAATAATAAATAATAAATAATATAAAATATGAAACTCACGCGCGCTTGTTCCAAACTTCAAGTGACAAGGGCGAATAATTTTTTGACAGCTGCAGATTTAATGTCATAAGCATAGACTATATGAACAAGGCGTGTCCGCGACTTCGTCCGCGTAGTTATTTTGGGCATCCAAAATGGTTTTGCAAACAACCTCTTTATCTTTATAATTTCATTTCAGACCCATGACGTCGGTCGCATTCCGTAGTTCTTGCAAGTTAATCTTAAAGTATAAACATATAGTATCGCGGACATTTTTTAGATCATATTAGGAGGAATCATTCTTTTGCACATATTTTTTGGGTATCTTGAACCATTTTTTGCAGTGTACGCATCGGAAACCCACAAAGATGAATTATTGTTTTCCCGCTATTTCTTAACCCTTTATTAGTCACAGTGCGATGTTTTAGCCTATAGCTTTTTTCGATAAATGCTACAACTAACATAAAAATATTTTTTATATTGTATATAATATATGTTTTTGTACTTTCGTGATATTGTTCATAACGTCAAATTATAATTATAAAGATAGTGATAATGATTATCAAATCATAGACCAAGTAGTATATTGTTTAAATCTAATTGAATTTTTAAAAATCTTGCTACCGCATACGTAGTAGGTACATGATACACAAAATAAAAGATACTGTGACAGTTAACTAAGTAAATAACGCTTATAATTTTTATCTTCTAAATCTTTTATATCCATCTGTTTTTTACATTTTCTGGGAAAAAGTACGGCATCCGCTAACACGGGAGAAAATCGTGAACGCCTCGCGTGTTGTAACCCCATAGCATGGAGTGTGGTGTGAGCTACTTCAGCCGGTAACGTACAAATCGGAGTTATTAGTACTTGCTGAAACAATTGATCGGCGGTTATCCGTTGTTTTATATATTAAGAGTGAGTTTCATAACATACTTAGTTTAAAGACAAAGAACATTACTTAGTCGCTATATTATCTAGATTTCTTAGTTAAGTCTCAACAGTGTAGTATATAATTTAGAGTTAATTTACAAAGAGTCGCGGCGTGATGTGAACTGAAGACTTCTTTAGAAAGCGATAGAATATATAACTTTTATGCTGAATATACAAAGAGTTGCTTGTTACGTAAGCCCGTTGGGGTCTATTATTGGACATTTATTTATTTTTTATTGAACAGTTAAAACCGCAATAGCCACTTACATTAATTGGAAGTACACAATAAAATTACACTTAATAGAATTAAACAGGTTATGTATCAATTACATTCGCACATAATTTCAGAATCAGACAATTCTTTCAGTATTGATGACCATTGATCTGCGAAAAGGTCACATTTGGGTCTTAACTTGAGGAGAGCGTTGAGTGAGGTTAAAATTCGCGGTATCGGCGAACATGCACGGGCAGATGTGCGACCTCTCGGGACGTTAAAGAGATCTTGTCTATCTAGCGCATAGGCGTTCGGTACAAACAGTCGACAGAAGGCTTCCCTCAAATAAGGATCATCGATTTCGTTTCGAAACAACTTACAAGCTATAATTAATTGCCCACGAGTTATGCTTTCGCGACTTAACCAAAGCTAGATTTAAAAAAAACCAAGCTGTCCTAATAAAAACAAGGTCGGATACAAGTAGGGATAAAAACCGTATTGGTGTTTGTAAAGAAATCGGAGGCAGGCTTTTTGGATCTTCTCTCTCTTACATATTTTTCCTCGTGAGGGTTCCATACGAACGAACTCGATTCCATCTTGCTGCGGACAAGACACATATATAAACATAGGTCTTTCCCACATTCCCTATTGGCACCCACTGCCCCGCAGTTACCGTGACCGCTACCGTAGCCAAGACTACTGGATCTGCCAGGGACTTGTCCTGGTCCCTGGTCCTGTTTTTTGTGTATCAACTTCTTTCTGCGCAATGCGAAACCCTCTGAAGTATGGTCGCGTCACGTTTGGCTTAAGGATCGTGCAAAGTTAATGCCCTTACATCAACTTTTGTCACTGATTTAGTGAAATACATTATTTGCGACTACACTAATCTTATACTTTACCCTTAAAACGTTGAGAAATAAATGTATTACCTAAAGACATATTAGAAAAAAAATACGAGCATTTTAATGAGTCATTCAAAACCAAGAGCACAGCGGTTTTGCGGTCACAACCGCAAAGACGAATCTGCTGTGCCATTTTCCAATTATTTGAGCTCTTACATACTCAACAATTGCAAAATTGCGACCTTTTACTGTACTTTAGCGATATTATAGCATTAAGCGACAGGGCTTCTAGGTTCGAATCTCCGGCAAACAATAAATCTTTTCAATATGACAGGGCACAGAAATCAACTACACAAATGTGACTTGAAATCACTGTTATTATTTGTTATCTATTACATTATTTCTAATTACAAAAATGTCATTGGATAGAATATTTAATACATATTTCATGGAGTGATGTTTTTGTCAATTCATCAAAATCAAATTATATTTGTTGTCTAGTAAATTTGTAAAATGATTAACTTCTAACCCAATGTAAAAATTAAATACCCACCCTCCTTCCGTACGGCATCGTGAAAAATTGCATACAACAACTTTCCAATACATCCGAGTAACTGTAGAATAGAAATGTATAATTCACTTTTCCCAACAATTCCAAAGGATTGTATTCTCTGAATTTCAGACAAGACCGTTCTTCTATGTAATCTATACCCTTTTTCACGATGCTTATCAAGCGCTTGGGACCTGCGCAGATACAAAAAAAATATCAAATAGTCCGAAAGATGTAATAAGTTAATTTTCTACTAATTTTCCTACGTGGACAAATGTCTTTAAACACTTTGTGCACTGTCAGATCAAGACAATGTTTTATTTGATTCAAACTTATTTCATTAATACATAATTTTATCCTGATTATTCAGAGTTTTCGTCACCCCATTAAAAACTTCTTTTATGCAACTCAGGACTACCTCTTACGTATAAGCCTTGCCTTACAAGATTTTTTTAACATGTGCTCCATGATGTTTTTAACGTTTTTGTGCACAATTAGGATCGATTTAAAATGAATGTCGAAAAACTAATAATATTTTTACCAAGTGATAAAATAAACCTCTTTGCACTAAGATGCAAAATACATGAAATAAGGTATTAAATATATTAAATAATACATGAGGTGTTTAATGATGTGAATATTATCTAGTAATAATTCTAGGCTATATGTTGTCACGTTCTGGTCAAACTCATTATTTTAGAGAGATGTTGTGAGCTTTTGATGCGAAAAGCCAGCGTAATAGCCTCGTGTATACTTACTTAAAGAATAGTAATTAAAGGTATATGGTATTTCACCATCGCTCCAGTGGTGTGGCCAAATAGAAGGGAGTTTCTCATCGGTAACTGTAATTTAAAATGTTTATACGAATTTCACAGTTTTAACGTCTAAATACTGTATGTGTCCTGCCTGAGTTGAAAAATGTTTTTCAATTTTTTTCGATTTTTAAATTGTTTGTAAATTATTCTAACTACTAAACACCAACTTTGTCGGAACAGATGGCGCTAGCGTTGCAGTTTTTACTTTGACGTCAGAGACCCTCCATCTTTAGGATCTCAGCACACATATGGGATCGGAAGGGGGGCGCCCCCCCACCCCCCCCCCCCCCCCCCCCCCCCCCCCCCCCCCCCCCCCCCCCCCCCCCCACAAAAGGGCCCCCCCCCCCCCCCCCCCCCCCCCCCCCCCCCCCCCCCCCCCCCCCCCCCCCCCCCCCCCCCCCCCCAAAAATATTTAAAAAAAAAAAAAAAAAAAAAAAGGGGCCCCCCGGGGGGGGGGGGGGGGGGGCCCGCGGGGGGGGGGCCCCCCCCCCCCCGGGGGGGGCCCCCCCCCCCCCCCGGGCCCCCCCCCCCCCCCCCCCCCCCCCCCCCCCCCCCCCCCCCCCCCCTTTCCTCTTGGTGGGGGGGGGGGGTTTTTTTTTCCACACCCCCCCCCCCCCCCCCCCGCCCCCCCCCCCCCCCCCCCCCCCCCCCCCCCTTCCCCTCCGTGACCGATGCTGTGAAGCGTCCAAAACGTCGGGCCGAAGTTAAAATAATTTATAAATAAGTTTAACTAAAATATATTGCGTTTTAAACTGTCAAAGTGTTTTCTTCAAATAGTTAACTTATTTTTAATTACTGCTCTCAGTTAACACGGCTGATGCAACACATTGAAAACGTGGAACCATAGTTTAAATAATTTAAAAATAAGATTACCAATATGTTACGCATTTTAAACCGGTAGAAATGTTTTTCTTAAATGTATTTAGATGAGTAAGAGTTAACAGACTTACACTAAGTCATGCAAAGTATTTTTCGGAAACAGATTGTACTATATTTTTCCTGATGATTCGTTTTTCATGCGACATAGACATCATGACAAAATTTTAATGTTGATAATTGAGAGACCGAGGAGCTATAACCGAATATACCAATAACCGAAGCAATTTTGTTAAACAACTAGGTTATGCATGTTTAATGTGGTTATAAACATATTTCAAACTCAAAAGAAAACACTAACTTGATATACGAGAACGAAAAGAGTGTAGTATCTAGTCTGATAGAATCCATATTGTTTTGCTTTATTCAGTTTTTTAACCTTCGACCCGAAAATCAGGATATGCAAAATGTTTAGTAAACTTTAGTATTGTTTGTAGTTTACGCGAATAGTATACATGAAGACCTTTAGCGGTTAACATCCAAAATGTAACAGTAAACTTATTTATAGAATTGACGGACTCACAAGCATCCGAAACGTCGGGTTTAGTTTATTGAAAAATATTTTTTATTTATTTATTATTGCTTTATTATTTCTAATACACACCACAGAAAATACATATTAATGAGGAAAAAAATACATTATTGTGAATATATGAAGGAAAAATAATTATAATTATTTTTTGGGTAACTTGAACCGTTTTCGCAGCGCACATAACGGAAACACTAAAAGATAAATGATCGTCCTCTGTCTCATCGCTTTTATTAGTCACAATCTGATTGGTTACAGTTTTAATCCTTTGTCGATAAATGCTCGGACCAACGCAAAAATAATTTTACAATTCCACCAGTTGTTCCTGAGATAAGCGCGTTCAAACAAACAAACTCTTCAGCTTTATAAATGCATTCTAATTTTGAATTTCATTGTTTCATCTTTTTGTTCGTAGCACTTGTTATTAATGATACGTTCTGTGTAAGTGAACGTTATTTTGAGCACATGATCGAGTGTTGCCATTTAAATAACGGAGAAGCAATTTATTTTAGAGGCACAGATCGAGATAGGCAACATTGTGTACGATAATGTGTTTCGATTAAATAAGTACGCTTGTTTTATTTGTTCATATAAAAATACATTTTTCGTCCATTATGTCCCCTGAATGGTAAGCATCAGTTGGATAACAATAATCCTAAATCCTAACTGAACCTAATCGTACATAAAATGGCTAACTGCGAGTTGAACTTGCGGAAGATTGTCGTACATTTAACATTTATTTGTTTAATTTTATTTATATAGGTATAATAAATAAATAATACACAAAAAAACATATATATTATTAGAATGTGTACCGTAAAAATGAAGCCGAGTAATATGCTAATATTTTAAATGTTTACCTAAAAAAACATAGCGTTAAATGTGAAGCCTCTTTTTTTATTTTATCTTTTTTAGATTGATATGATATATATATAGTGGCCACAGAAATACGACATGAGAATAAAATTTTATTCTCTAGCTAACGCCATCCTCTAGATATAAGCTGTTATGTAAAATAACACGATACAAATAAAAAAACGTGGGTGGGTTTACAGAACTGACTCAAAGTATCTCCAGTTTATCGGTATACTGTTTTTTGCGAAATAGTATTTTAATATATACAACATTTCGATTAACGGTCATTGACCGTTAAAAGTGTTTTATTTAAAATTTGTACTACTAGCGTAAATTACATGCAATACTTAAAGCAATGAACTTTGCTTAAAACTTCTATCAATAAAAGAAGATACATACCGTTGCTGTGGCAACACTCCACACCCACAAGCGTTTTCAAAACAAAAACAGCTATATACAGTAAAAGGCTATAAAAATAATGCATGCCCTATTCACTTAATGAGAAAAGTTATTGAAGTAATTTTGTTTCCATGAATTTTCCGTGTTATAAATCAAATATTACGGCCCGAACAATATTTTTATGCTCAAGGTGTTTTTTATGAACTTGCGAAATTTCGTAACGCGTAGTTGTAATACCTGACCGTTTGTATGTTTAATGAATATTATCTACGTTTCCTTAATTCATTTTGAATTATTTGCTCGTAATTTTCCTCGCTTCCTTTCCCCGATTTTTGTGGCGTCCATAATCTATTAGGGTCCCAATTACTTGTAATTTTAGTAAAGTAGTGTCAGCAGTTTTGGTCGTTTTAACGGTTTTAAATGTGAAAAATTAATTAAAATTCAATTTTAACTATAGACGTTTTGACGTCCAAAACATCCGAGCAATTGTAAAAATAAATTGTAAATACTAATATACTTTGCATTTTAAACGGTCAAAAATGGATTTATTTAAATGCCTATTATTCTCAACGCTATTTGCTGTATGAAGGGTAGCGAAATAATGTGCAATCTTTGAAAAAATATGTCTAATTTATTATTAGGACTAATATTTAAGTTCTCACGTTTTAATTTGTGGTAATGTCAATTCAGGTAATTATGTAGATATAACAGAGTAAAAGTAAAGCACACTTAAGAAACTCAAAATTTACTAGCGTAAGAATTGCTGTACTATACATTAAGAGTAAGAAGTAAGATAATGAAGACGAATGTAATGTTACATGTGAGAAATGTTATCTAAACAAACTAAATCTCCTCACTTGCTTCAGTCTAGCTAACTGGGTTTTAGGCCATTTAGTTGAGAATACTGAATTAGCGTTTAATGTTCAACTTGTGTAGTTGGAATTTTAAATCCAAGATTTATTCTGCGTTCTTTCAGGTACCTTATTCTACATACTCGTATAAGAAAGACGAAGAAGTAGTGTTTGTTTGTCCCTTTGCTACAGTATACCCAAATAAGCGGTCTAATATGTTCATGGAAGCTTTGTGCGTGAGTACACTTTTAAATAATATAACTCTTTCAACGGTTTAAAACGTGTAATATATTAATTATTTTTCTCCCCATGGCGACGACTGCAGCAAAGCATCCTAAACGTCGGGGTGTAGTATTTCACGTTTTAGACCGTTAAAAACGGTTTAATTTCATTTTTATGTGTATTATGTCTTAATTTAATCCAAAATATTAGCTTACTTTCTTCACGGCCTTCACACTTCCCGGGGTTTTTTTAAACAGCCAAGAAATTCTACACCACTAAACTAAACCGTTTAAAACTCGTCATATTAATATTAGTAAGAGTGTTGTGAAAATTTTGAAAGGCCAAATATCGACAACTATATAAAACATTCCGTGAATCTTATCAATATCGATACGATATACTGTCGATGAATATAGATAAAAAATAAAAACAAAACGGATATCACTCACATCTGTCTATTCACAAAACCGATTAGACTGAACGAAATTTTGCCTACATTTTGTGAAACGTGTTATACACGTAAAGAACTTTCTCTTTAAATTCGATTAAAGGTTACCACGAGTCGTGAGGCTCTTCAGAAAGACTTTTCACGAAAAGTATTATGTAATTTAGCGTCTACTTTTCGTTAACTATAGTAAAAAGTACTAAACTAAATGTATAATATAATAGTTTATATTTATAGAAATCTATACTGATATTATATAGCTGCAAAGTTTGTTTGTTTGAACGCGGTAATCTCAGAAAGAACTAGATCGAATTGAAAAATTATTTTCGTGTTACATTGCCCATTAACAAGAAAGGCTATAAAACATCACACCGCGACCAATAGAGGTGGTGGAAAAAAATATATAAAAAGAATGATTCTTCCTTATAAGATCTAAGAAAGTCATATGCAAGAATGACGAGACGTGAATGACGTTGTGGGCAACAGCTATAGTTAATAAAGCTGAGGAAGTTATTAGCAAAAAAAAATAATGTCCAAAGAAACTATTCCACGCAGACAAAGTCGCAGGAACAGCTAGTTTCGAAATAATTTGAAATTGAAATGATATCGTAATGATGAGTTTTTTTCTTTCATAATTTTTTTAAGTATAAAATAGGGAGGGATTTCTTACCTAGGACCCAACACGAAAAGCCATGTTACTAACGCAATTTATAAACATCGAACGCTTATAAAAAGTGTAACGTATGAAATTGAGAACGAAATCGAGATCCGCGTTGAAGTGGAAAAATGAAACAGCTGTTCAAGTAAAAACTATTAAACGAAGAGGGTAGAATCGTTTTGTACGCAAATAACAATGTTACAGCTTCGGATATTGGCCATGTGCCGAGAACGCAGTGCGCTCTCCCCTAATCATGGTGGTATTACTTTATTTTATTTTTATAACACTGCAAAACACGACAGTGTTGCCAGTTCAAGAAATAAGAAAGAATACGTCTGTGCTATATCGACGTAATATTTCGGGATAAAATACTATCTATAGTTCACGTGAGTAGTACATAAAAAAAGCACTTTAACGGTTTAGAACGCGAAATATATTAGTAATGCTTATGAGAAAAATGTTTTAATTACGTAGCAGCCGAAATCGGGCCCGAGTAAAATTTTTAAATAAATTTAATTAATATTGCGCTTAAAACCGTTAAAATTTTTATTTAAATTGTACTACTCGCGTAAACTACAGACAGCATTCAACTCTACCGTTGCTTCGGTTCATCTAAATAATTGTTAATTAATTGAAAACAATCTATGTATGGGGAATGGATCTTTAGTTGTAAAGGCCTAGGATGTAAGGATTTATTTAGATTGTTTTCTTAGGCTAGGTAAAACTTCGCAAACGCTTTTAGGTTTCGAGACCCATCCATTAGTCTATCTAAATAAGTCGGGAAAATATTCTAGTGTATCGTTGTATTTTTGTCTCCAATATTAAGTCAAGTATCGCACGTAATCACGCGGAAAATTGTAATACGTAGTATTTACATAATTTCTTTTCGCTCAATAATCTCTTTTTAGTTGAACGCACAATTATTTAAAGGTAGACGTAAGGAGCTTAACGTTTTATTAAAATTACAAATATGATTACAATATTGAATTGAGAAACATAGGTATTGGGTGACATTTCGAGCTTGAACATTCTTTACATTCAAACTCAAAATAGCGGAAATGTTTGAATGTTTAAATAAAACCTTTAACGATTTAAAACGCGATATATTAGTTAAACTTTTTTGAAAATGATTTTTAAATTCGGCCCGACGTTTCGGATGCTTTGCAGCAGCCGTGGTTACGGGGAGACATGTTTTTTTCTTCTTTTTAAATAACGCCTCTAACTTTTATTGCATATCACAAGTTAGTAAAAAGTGGAATCCCACGTCGCCCTGTGGGACATGACATTTTTTATCCAAAATAATTTCTTAATTAAATTGCTTGGACCTCTCATGTTTCAGTTTGCTAAGCCACACGTAATATGCAATATATAAAAAAAGCGGGATCTCTAAGCCAATTCTATTTTTCGGTCAACTTTGTCCACGAATGCCCCCGCCCCTCATCATAATCTATACTAATAAGTAAAGCTGAAGATTTTGTTTGTTTGTTTAAACGCCCTAATCTCCGAAACTATATTATTAACTTTATTTGATGAAAAGGAGGGCTGCAAAAATAGATTGGGATACCCAAAACTATTATTATATACGGAAGAAGCCGGTGACACAGCTAGGTTACGATAAAGCTTTAGATTAGTAATATTTACTATCAACTATCTCCTTTCGATTACATCATTCCTCGGAGTATACCAATAAGAGGGCTGGAATTCTAAAATCCAATGAGTACGCAAGTATTTCAGTCTGTATAGAAACTCACTATCCGTGAAAATCCGGCTTTCTGAAGCATCAAGCACCCTCAAAGGTATGAAAGAGGGTGTCCTAATGGAACGAACCCCGAGCACTCAAGATGCTGTCCACTCCTGGCCGTCCTATCTTAACAAGTTTCATTAAACTATGATTATTTTGAAAGTAATTGGGGGCGGTTGCTATAATACGTCCCTTGTGTGGTTGAGAATATTAGTATGCAACCTTTTGTATTACAAAACCAAAAGAATACACTTTTTAGTAAAAATTAATGAAATCTGCCAAATACAAGACATGGTGACATAATGATGCTCGCGATATCTTCGAAATATTTGACACAAAATCTAACAGCATTTTCCAATTACTGCGCAAATGTTGTTACTGTATCATGAGTATTCAAGTTCGACTCCTGCCCTCCAGTGACTTTTGCAACCTTCGTAAAATGTTGTGTCAATATCAATTAATCTTTTGTCGGTTTAAGTATACTTTAAAAAACTTTATACATTAGTTAGACTTGGAATTGGAAATTTCTATATATTTTTTTTGTACGCGTTTACATAAAATCACTTCGCGCGATTAATGCTGCACACAAAAGCTTGCATATAAATAAACATTACGCGTTAAGTTCCGTTGCATTCAATAATTAAAATAAAATCTGTGTCAAGTTTTTTTATTCTCCAAAATAAATAATTCGTGAAATAAAGTGCCGGATTTGTATTGGCTTAATTTATTAAAAGCAGTTTTTAAATACATATTTCAATTGCTAATTATTTTAATGCAATACTTTTAAGCGTTTTAATATTTTTCACATGTTATTGCACATGAAGGCTTTATATAAATTAAAAATCGATTTAAGATTGGGAAAAAATTAGATTCGCCGAGTAACGAGTACCGAGTTCAATCAAATTCCCATTTCGCGCGCATAAGCAAGTACAAACAGGTTAGCGCCGACTCAAGACATCGGCTCGCTCTCATCTTCTAGTAATTTTAAATAAAAAATACATTTGGAGTAACACTGATGTTTTACTTATATCTACCTAAATATATTGGTGGTCATTCCTTAAAGTCCACCACACATAAATTACGTATGAATGTGTTGAAAAATCTCCTCGCCTTTGTCTACTGCGACTGGACTGAACTAGCCATGGTCTCGTAAGCGCTGCGCACGCTCAACATTGCGTTTCATGATACCAAGATGCCAAATTGTTCATGATAACGTCTTACCTACTACATAAGACTTTTCTCATTTATGTGTATTTTCTGTGGTGTGTTTTATAAATAATAAAGCAATATTTATCCCCGTGACCAAGGCTGCGTGCAAAGTCCGAAACATCGGGCCAAGTTAAAAAATTTTAAATAAGTTTAACTATTTTCGTTTTAACCGGTAAAGTGTTTTATTTAAATAATAAAGCAATAATTAAATAAATAAAAATAAAATAAATACTGCTTCGGCAACATTATCACCACAAAAAGCAAGTTCGCACCATTTCCACATATTGTACATTAATATAATTGTAAGACATGCTTGTCATTAATACACTGCAAAACGACTGCAGACGACGCAGATGCCAACGCAACCATTGTTTGCAATTCGGAAGAAAGTTGTTACGTAATTACCGCGAAAGGGTTGCGCACGCACAGACTCTAGTAGACAAGAAGCTGGGTGGCCGCCGCGGATTCCCCGAATTTTTATACCCATTTAGTTATGCTTATGTAGGAATTTATTTATCGAACGGTGTCCAAGATTTCAAAAAATTCATATAATTTTGACAAAAAATATAACTTGGTATAAAAACTTTTGGAATGGATTCTGCTACTGATTTTGAACAAACTACTTTCAGGTTTCGCATGAAGTAGGAATAACCTTGTATAATTGAAAAATCGATTTTAGATTTTTTCGTGTCGTAAAATTCGATTAGTCTAATACTTTTAAATAAAACACTCTAACGGTTTTAAACGTGATATATGTAGATCAGTTAAACTTATTTGATAATTATAATTTCAAACCGATAAACTGTTTTATTTGAATGTGTTCTACTCGCGTAAATGTTATGTCTTCAAACATTACATATGATTTATTGGCGTGCATTCAAACGTAAACAAAGGGCTTATGGTTGATGTTATATTTAAAATTTAGGGACGGCTTCATCAAAGCATTGACAATTGCGCAGACATAAATACGGACGGCACAATGCAAGAGTGATGTCATGATAACCCTCGTAATATTTTTTTGCAATTAAATTTATTCCGCGTTCAATTCTTTTGTGATACTTTGAGATAATTTTTCATTGTACGTTGATCAATTGGCATGATCACTAATTATAGTAACAATGAATACTCAAACTTTTGTTGTTCGAAATGTTACAAAGTTATTGGCATTTCAAATTTTATGTTTCGCGGAATTCATAAGCTCTTTACAACGTTAGTAAAGTTATTATGTTAAAAAGTTATCATGGTACACTAATTAATATTTTAAAACTAGATTCTATTACATCGCTATAATATATATAACTCTTTCTAAATATATTTTTAGTCTTTATTAGCAGATATTTAGCAATTTAAATATATAGCTAATTTAAAATGTTGTCTCAGTTTTAATGCATGTTATTATGCATGCATGTAATTTATTATCCTGATACCATTTAGCTTGTTCCTAGAGATGGGCTAGTTATGATTAGAACCGAAACCGAATATTGGCCAATTTTGTTTGAATCGAAGTTAATGTCGAACACTAGTATTATTTATAGTAGTTTTTATTTATAGTAATACGAACAACAATTTACCAATTACTCTTCAAAATTACACAAAATAATATTAACAGGATAATAACTACTATTAAGACGGAAACAAAATGTTAAATTCTAAAACATTCATTTATTAGCCAAAATTAGGCTTAGCCGACGAAATGGGCGCCAACATTCGTATTAGACAGTTGCGGAGCTAGTGCGAAGGCGCGCGCGTTAATCGCGTCGCACTAGTGTTGTGTCGTCCCCTCTAAGTCGGAGGATTATTCATATCACTATAGTAGATATATTTTGCAAACATTTTATAATTATAACGTCTCAGTAGTCGTTCTTTGTACCGCGTCAGATTTATTTTGTCAATAAAAGCCAGATTTTTTTAATTTTTAATTTTATGTTTTGAATTACACAATTCAGTAAAACCAAACGTAATCTGAATTAAAAACTTTTGGCAATACTAAATTATTGCACTTTAATTCTATTAGCGATTTTAAATGGTTCTTGTTAAATACATTAATATTTTCATTATGTTTTTCTATTTGTAAGGTAATCGTCATAGTTTTTGCCAAAGGAAGGAAGGTGGAAAATAAATCCCCGCTCACGTCAAAGCATTACCTTAGCTTCGTGAGAACGTTAACTTCGTTATAATGTGCAGAGGTACGGTGTACACAGGTTTCGGGCGGAGCGTTTAACTGGATTTCCTTTTAAATTACGTACTTACTCTTTTATTTAGTATCGTGTATTTAGAGAAGGTACAATTAACTAATGTTTAAACTAAATTTCTTGTGTCACATGAAAGAACATTTCCCATCTTTATTTCAATTAATATATAGGTATACGAAACATAGATCGACAGCACATCTGATTATATGGTTGGGGTATTTTACCTTCTATCATGTGAACCCGATGCGTCTATTCTCCTCTATCATAACAAAAACTGATGAGTCTTCATACTAGTATTTGCGATAAGTATACTAATTAATATCTTGATACGTCTGTAACTGAAAAATATTCAAGTACACATCTTAAGTCTGTTTCGTGGAGAAATTTTATTGTAAGCAAAAATTATTTTTTATTGTTACTTGGAAATGTAATGAATGAATGAAACCACCTCTGTGACTAAACGTCCATTGTGTTAAGCGCGAGCGGTTCTGGGCTCGAATACCCTTATACAAGTAAGGCTAAAACCGATTAGTGAAACGGACAAAAACATGCCCCATGGGGGGAATATATTCAGACTGAAATATAAGACAATAATAATAAAATATTTAAGTAAGCTCAAAGTTTTAAGAACACACTTTTAACCGTTCAAAACGTCGTATCATAGTTAAAATAATTTTACACAACGTTGTCACATTTTAAACAGTTTATAGTGGTTTATAAAAATCAATAATTTTACGCGGACGAGGTCATGGGTTACAGCAAAACAAATTTTGATGCCCAAAACATATTCTACGCGGACGAAGTCTCTGCTATAGCTAGTTTACAATAAAAATTTCATGCAAAGTTGCTATGAATTAAAAGCGCTTTTCCCTCAGTGCGAAAAATTATTTTCTTAACAGAATACCTTCGCTCGCTTTTACCCAGAACTTTAGGCAATGCCGAGCTCATTATAGACCGGGCTATAAATACAACCTGCAGCGTAACCCTCCGCTAAACCGCTTAAGGCTAACGTGAAATTAACCCGGAACTGCTGCTCCGAGGCGTTGAAGTCTTGTAAAGTTCGCTTGCATCAGAAACTCGCTACTTTTTAAGTAACGAGTTATTGATTAAAGTGTCTGAAACTACATCGGTTTAATGTTCTAGAATTTTCATATTACGAGTAACTTGGGAAATTAATTTTAATTGCTCCATTAAAATTTTCCTCGAATTATTTCGTATGTCTATTTAAATAGATAATCTAGATTATACTAATGTAGTACGGACTTGTAAGGGTAGCAATGTATAGGTTTTGATCCCCACCGGGTCCAATATTTTTTTAAGCACTTTATTATTTGTCTGGAAATCTGTATATTAAATAGATGGCTGGAATATCAAAGCCAAAATAGGCAGACAGCGCGTCTTGTTGTACTCTCTATCATAAAAAAACTATACGGTTCAACGTTTCTATTGAAGTCTTCATTAGGAACACTCGTGACATGTGAAACCACGCGCCAAATTAAAGCCTGAACTGGGCCGAGTCACGCCCTCGTAATAAGATAAATCGCTGTCCACTGAAAGCTGGCATATCGCGGAAATAAATTAACCGAAAGCACATTGCGATAACCGTTTCAATAAGATTTGTTTTCATTTTGCTACCATT